ATCTTGTACTCTGCCCATTGTTCTTGCTTATGAATAGATATTTGTAAGCTTCCATCCTGTTTCTCCAGCTTATTCTGATTTGCGAGGGATTTTCCCAGTTTTAGTGCAGAAAGTTGGGCCTCCTAGGTCCCCATTCTAAACAAACCTAAGCCAGTTGGTGACCCACTAGAAAGTAATACATTACCTGGAAAGATTCTAATGGTTCACAAACTTTGCTCTCAAATTCATAAATCTGAATGAAAAATAGAGGAGAGCACAAATATGAAGAGAACTCCATTTCTTTAAGCACTAAGGAATGAGTATTTTTCTGGTAAAGGAGCATTCAGTGTTTCTTTCCTGGAAATTATGCCTAGAAAATAGATGAGCAGCAGCCTCTTTAAGAAGCATTTTGGTGCTCATACAGGAATTGAACACAGGCTTTTGTGGAAGCTGTGTTCTACTCCCAAATGGGGGGTGACAGCAAAGAGCGAAGTATGTATTTCTTGAAAAACCCAAAGAGCAGCCTGTCTGGGTCCTTTGCTCGTCTTCTCTGGGGCTGGTAGCTCCATAGCAGGCCTCAAAACCCAAATCCCCTAGCCCAGCCCCATTTCTCTGCCACCATCTGCAGATTGCCAACGATTCACCTTTAAGCTAGTTCCTTTTCCTCTGCTTGGTTCGTGCCGTGTTGTCTAAAGTGACTCAAATGTTCTGTCAGTCTAAGTGCAAAACTATTTTTACCACAGTGTTCGGGAATCTCTGGGCACAAACTGTCTGCAGATGAGGTAAATTACAGGTGCTCGGGTTCATGTTACTCATTTAGCTGCGCAAGTTTAAAGCCTTAATCTGCCTCTTCTGAATTCTCCCATTCAGTCGCTGGCCCTTCCTTCACCTTATTTTCTTTTGGGCCACTCACTAGCTTTCCTCATGATCCGTCTAACCTGCAAGTTGAACAAAACTCTGCTCATTCTCTTTCTCTCTTCCTGCCACCCTCAGCTTTCTTCTACCTCCTTTTCTCTCTTCTCTCTCTTCACTGTTGAAAAAGTACAATCATTTTCTGTCTGCCTCTCAGTTCCATTTTCTCAGCTATCACTGAAACGGTTTTCTTGGAACTCAGCTATGTGACAATGACAATATTGCCAAACTCCTTAGACATGACCTACAAACACCTCTCCACCAGTGTCTTACAAACCCTCATCTGTGTCTATTTCCTACTTGAGTTTCCTCTTACTGTCACTGCCATCCCAATGCACAGGTTTGCTAAAAACCTTCAACGTCACTATCTAGAAAGACCAGCCCAATAGCTTAGGAACCTGAGACCCCAAACCAGCTTGTCTCATGCTCCCCTTTCATGATATTCTTCATTGTTGTATTCTCACATTGCTTTACTCCAAAGTTCCTAGTTCAGTTTTCCTTTGTATGATTTTTTTAATGAGTGTCTGTCCCCCAGGAAATTGGAAATTTGTGAAGGTCATAAATACATTAAACAGTGTTATTGGAGTCACTAGTTTCAGTATTCTCATTTCCATTATACCATTAACACAAATCCCTAAATTTATCTTAAACATCTGTCTCACCAAATCTACGTACTTCAGTTAATTCCCTATTCTATTTCAATCAGAGGCATTATGAATTGAGTAGCAGAAGGAGGGAAATTAACATTTGTTGAGTGCATATTCCAGAACATGAACTTACCATATATTACTCATTTTATGCTAACAACAAGTCTGTGATGTATATGTTGTATATGACATTCATCTCTTCTAAACCTGAGGCTTGGAACATATAGTTAAGAATGGCTAGAATGTATGTTCTGTCTTACTCCACTGTCATTTTTCCACCACATCCAGCACTTTCCCAAAGACTCATAGCTAAAATCCACCATTGACTGAGTTAGCCATCATCCTTCCCTTCCCACCCCTTTTCACAAAGAAGAACTCAACATATTCAAGCTTTTGTGGGGATGATGGGAAGAAAATTCATTTACAAATAATTAAGCATCAAGTAAAAATAATGGAGTGGCAAACTGAAAACTCTTAAAATCTCAATCATAATATAAATTAGTCACAGGGATGAAAGTACAGCATAGAGAATATAGCCAATGGTTCTGTAACATCTTTCTATGTTGACAGACAGGAACTGCACTAGTTCGGGTGAACAATTATTATATATAACTGTCGAATCACTGTTGTATATACTTGAAACCAATGTAATATTGTATATCAACTATACTTCAATTAAAAAATTTTTCCAAAAACATGAAAACTCTCAATTTTATCACCAATGTAGTTTCAGATTTGTTATGAATGAACTCTAGGTTCCTGAAGTGATTTTTTTGTACTTAATATTATTATTCTCTTATTATGATTTGCTTTCATCATAATTTTTTAAGTATTTTAAATGATTTAAATCTTGGAGGACTTCAGTTTACACAAACGTTTTGACCACTTGCTAAGGTCTGTGCCTCACAAATTCTGCTGAGAAATCATGTAATTGCAATTACAGGCATCTCATATTTTGTAAACAGCTTGAGTTCCAAGAGTTCATTTGTTGATTGTTTGGAATCACTGTGTATTTTCCCATTACCTAATCTAATAAAGGATGCTTATTTTCCAAGCTGGCATTCCCTTTTTCTCTCTTCTTTTTCTCTCTTCTCCCATCTCCGAAAACATCAACAAAAGTGGAAAAAGTCTGTTGAAACCAAGATGAATAATAACACTAATTTCCCTGGCCTGAGTTCTGAGTTCCAGAGAATGTTGGGAAAGCGGCTTTGTAATTTAATAAGAAAGGATAATTCAATACTGAAGGCAGAATTCACACAAAGAAATGTTACCACTGTCTGGCAGGTTGCTGTTGATAAGCACCCCAATGCTTTTTCTACATTTTTCTAGAATCTTCTCTTTCCACGTTCTGAACTCAACTGTTACTCCAGTGGCAACACTTGAATGTGGGAAAAATAAAGGAGGAAGAACACATTTTTGCATTGTTTAGCAGGTTCATGATGTGCAAAACACATCTATCTGATCCCTCCTAAAATCAGTGGTGAGTCTAAGAATGGTACATTTTCTATTACGCAAGCAACAAAATCCCTCATAAGTGGTATTTTTATCTCCTTTATTCTCTGCAGCTAATTGCAGTAATAAATTACTCTTATTTTATAGAGTATACAACATTTTGGAGGTGACTTCACATTTCTAAAAACTTCATCTTCATTCAAAAGAACCTTTGAGAGTATGACATCTGTCATATCAATTTTATGGATTTAAAAAAACTAAGATTTTGATATATTAGGGTTGGCTAAGTCCTCACAGGCCCAAAATGATTGTAATCCAGGCCTTCCACATCCCAGTTCCAGGGCTATTTCTCCCACTTTTTGTCTCAGTCAATTTTGCTTCCCCTGCTAGTTTCAAACTCCATGAAAAAAGAGTTCATTTTCACCTCTTTGTCTTTAGCATTGAGAGCACTATCTAGCATTTAGTAGGTACCCAAAAAGGGTAGAATAAATGAATTTCAGTTATTGTTATCTTAATAATCTTAGCAAAAATGCTGTATAGTTATAATAGTTAAAAAAATTGCTTTTCAGATTGTCTTCACCATATAAGATGCAGCATAGATTAAGACCACAAGGTGATTTTCTATGATGGATGTTAGACTATACCTTGAATCGTTGGAGCCTCCAACCTGCAGTCTCACTGCTGACATTAGCAACATGGGAACTGGTACAAATAGGAGAAAATATCACAAAAGTATTGGCTTCTTATTATACTTTCCTGTGCTTCCTACTTTTTCCAAAAACCTAGAAATGATTCTCCGACTTGATAAATAATTATTCAGCTGCCCAAAACCAAAACCATAAAAACAGCCAAAAATAAAAAAAGATGTCAAAATGCAACACCCCAAGTCTGTGGCTCAATAGGAACAAGCTGTGAAAAACTATCTTCTGGAAGAGGTGACTTTACTCAGAAGGGTACCCAATTCCTCCAGTGTCTGACTACTGGTTCCTTGTATTGTCTTCATTCATAAACAAATGGAGTCCTATTGAATGTAACCTATGATTACCACTGCTTGGGGTAGAATAAGTGGACATTATGTTTCCATCTTTTTTTTTCAGGCATAGCCTATAAAGGCTAAAACCAAAGTTGATTGTCATCCTAAAGTACATTTACAGGTGAGGGAGTCTTTCCAGAGCTCTGGGAGGAAAAAGGAAAGGGAAGAATAACAAAAGGGAAAACAAAATCGACCTCTGCAACAGGTGTGCTTTATTTGACAAGAAATGATCTTCACACTGACACAGCCTCATGCTTTAAATGATAACTAACGGCCAACAAGCAGCTAACAAAAGACTATATGCTTCATAAGCATGATATCATTGGATCGAATCCTCACCAAAATTTTCTAAGACAACCACTCTTATCTGGAAGAAATGGAGACCTAAGAAGTAACTTAGCACACACAAACAAATTAACTTAGCTAGGCCTTGAAGAGAGTCCTTTGGAATCTAGGACCCCTAAACTTCCTCCTTCCACTGCACTGCCTCTCTGCCCACCTGCCTGCGTGTATTGGACCACGGGCAAGCAGAGGCTGAAATTTCTTTCCTTGCCTGTGCCTTGGATGCTACCTTTCTCATCTGGATCTTATAAGACAATTTATTTGGAGTCCATGGAGAGCAAGAACTTGAACGAAAAAGCTGTGAGCACAACACGTACAACAGGAACATAACAGAGGCACCCTGGGGTCAGCGCCACATTGGATCCTGAAATACCAAGTGGCAATAGTGAGGCTTGTTTCCACAAGAATGATTTTTTGAAGAGAAGTTGTTACATGAATTGCATCTCCGTCCTCTGTCCCACCCCTTATCTCATAGCTACTATTGCTCCACGGTGGAGGGGCACGAAATTCAGATCTTGGTTACCAACTCCCCACAAAAATAAGATAGCCAAGGAAGGAACCTGAGCACCCTCCAGCCACCCCTCCAGCTTCCAAATCATCCTAGAGCTTTAGTAAAAGACAGGAAAGAGATTTACCTGCTGCTATGGAGGCTGAAGCCTGAAAGTCATGTATGACCTTTGAAGGACTGTAATGGTTTTAATCACAGGAATAGCATCTTTTTGACAGGCAAGAGAGAGAAAAGAGCTGAACCACTCTGCAAATATTAACCAGGCTATTTTGGAGCAATGGCTATAGCATTTGAAATCTTTCATCATTGGTCTATACTTAGAATTGAGAGGAGCCTGGGGGAGGAGAATGGAGCAGTGCTAATCCGCAGTTGTTTTGAAGTTGTCCTGTAAACAGGTTAGCATCTCAATGGCGGCGGCAAATGGAAGCATTCAACGCTTTGTTTCAATACGGGGATGCGCTCCGTGTATTTTTTCGCTGTTTTACCTGTTCTGCATATAGGTTGTCACATCGTTCTAGGGTTGATACTTCTCAGTTTTCTTTCAAACTAGATGTTCTAGAGAGCACTTGCTGTAATCACATTGGGAGACTGATGCTCCATGACAGCTAAAAGTTGGATTGAGTTTCAGGAGCTACTATATATAAAGCTGGGGCGACTTATGTCACCGCACTAATTAAATGCCATCTGGGTGGTTCCTCTGGGTTTTTGAGCCCATCACCCAGTTCAGACCGAGTCAGAGGCCAAGGAGGAGAACATGATGATGGACCTTTTTGAAACTGGCTCCTATTTCTTCTACTTGGACGGGGAAAATGTTACCCTGCAGCCGTTAGAAGTGGCCGAGGGCTCTCCTTTGTATCCAGGGAGCGATGGTACCCTGTCCCCCTGCCAGGACCAAATGCCCCCGGAAGCTGGGAGCGACAGCAGCGGCGAGGAACACGTCCTGGCGCCCCCAGGCCTGCAGCCTCCTCACTGCCCTGGCCAGTGTTTGATCTGGGCCTGCAAGACCTGCAAGAGAAAATCTGCCCCCACCGACCGGCGGAAAGCCGCCACCCTGCGCGAGAGGAGGCGGCTAAAGAAAATCAACGAGGCCTTCGAGGCACTAAAGCGGCGGACTGTGGCCAACCCCAACCAGAGGCTGCCCAAGGTGGAGATTCTACGGAGCGCCATCAGCTACATCGAGCGGCTGCAGGACCTGCTGCACCGGCTGGACCAGCAGGAGAAAATGCAGGAGCTGGGGGTGGACCCCTTCAGCTACCGACCCAAGCAGGAGAATGTACGCGCAGATGCTGCCGGGGCAGGGAATGCAAAGGCGGATTAGACGCTCTCCTCGGGGCCTTAACGTCCAGCTGCTCGGTCCCCTTTCCCGTCCCCCATCCTCTCCCGCCCCTCCCGCTCCTTCTCATGAACCCCCAGTGACCCGTGAACACGGGGTGCCCACAATAGGCAGGAAATTCGTATGCGGCCCTAGCAAGCAGGGGAAACCCCCTCCCACAAGCCCCCCCAGCCCACCCCCGGAACCGACGCTTCTTTCCTAATCTGCTGCCTTGGTTTTCCTCCAGCTTGAGGGTGCGGATTTCCTGCGCACCTGCAGCTCCCAGTGGCCAAGCGTTTCGGATCATTCCAGGGGGCTCGTGATAAGCGCCAAGGAAGGTAAGGTACAAGAGAGGGCGCCGGGCTGCGCTAGAAACATTCCTGCTGGGCTGGGGTGCTCGCTCGGGGCAGGAAGGCCTTCGAACGCGCGCGGGGACGCGCCCTGCAAAGACGCTCCCGGCGCGCGGCCGCGCCGCCCGCCCGCGCTGCCTAAGCGGGCCCAGGAGGGGCGCGGAGCTGTGGTTCTAACTTTCTTGACTGCTACGCGTGTTTTGTTTTTGTTTGTTTCCCTGCGCTCAGGAGGGGCAAATATTGATTCGTCGGCCTCGAGTAGCCTTCGATGCCTTTCTTCCATCGTGGACAGTATTTCCTCGGAGGAACGCAAACTCCCCTGCGTGGAGGAGGTGGTGGAGAAGTAACTCGGCGCCGGTGGTCGGGACGTTCTCCACGCAGCAGGAAGATCCCACCCTCCCTCCTTCGCCTAATCCTTTAGATGAGGTCACATTACATGAATATTTAGGAACGCGGACCCAGGAGTTTACGAAAGGGAAGGAGATGCTCACAAAGAAACTTCTGGGAAACTTGTGCACGCCAGAATGAAAAAAATTAAGCCCTTTGGCTTCGGGCTTTTATTTTTGGAACTGCGAGTGGCTTAGGTCTAGCGGCCTTATTTTGTTCTTGTTTGATTGGTTTTGTAATATACTTACATTTATTACGGCTATCCTTTTGCGCCATGTTCAAACAGTTCATTCCTGTCTAAAGCGAAGTGGAAACGTTGCATTTAAATGTTAGTGGTATTGAATATATTTTTGTAAATAATGTTAGTACTTTCGTTTTTTTTATGTAAACCTAAGAAATCCATTTTAAATGTGGAATGACGTATTTGCATATAAAATGTGCGAGGATCCTGGTATTGTAATATTAAAAAAATAAGTTTCTATATGCACAAAGTTGGTCCTAATTTGATTCAACTGAAGAAAAATGGTTGAGGGCATGTGTGCAACAAAGAGGAGCCCTATTTTAACTTGGACACCACACAGCCCATACTTTTTTGGTGTTTTCTAAAAGGCTGGCTTAAAAGGAGGAAAACTGGTAGTTTTGCTATGCGTGAATTAAACTGTTCACTTTGCTCTCCCACGTAGACTTCACACCTGTGGTCAGGAATGCAGAATACCCGGACTCTGCCAGTCTTTCTTCTTTCAGCATCCTGTTTCTTTCTGTTTTAACTGTTCTATATCTGGAGATGTGGGTAGGATTTACCTTCAGAAGTTAACAGCTGGATTCTCAGTCCAGTGAAATGTCCTTGTTGCAAGAAATTGCCACACAAAAACTTTCTGTTTATTTCCCTACAAAGATCTTCAGTGAATTTAGCCCAAATTGCTTTCCTTCATTGGCTTTCCAGGCCCCACCTTCCATGAAGCAGCCTTCATCTGGAGGACCCAGGGGCTGCCCCGGCCCCCTCCCTGGGTTTCTTGAGCTGAACTAGTGGCTAGAACACCAGAATACCCTCACGGCCTCGTGGCCTGGGTTTGTTTTCCAGTCAGAATGCTGAGAGCAGGAGACAATCTGTCTCTTCCCGGAGGGTGGGCTTCTTTGAAGGAAGGGTTGCTTCAGAGAAGGAAGGGTTAAATGGTTGAGGTCAAAAGACACCACCACACATGAAACCTCTTAGCTGGACCAAATAGCAAAGCCCTAGAGAGGCTAGAAGCCCCAGGAGCTCCTCACCGTGAGGATTTTACGACGTGTGCCAAGTCTGTTTATCCTGTAACCTCAGGAAGAACCGACCACCATGAATCGCAGTGGGCAGTGAAGCCGAGGGGAGGGACAGCCATTGTTTGGAATTGCTACTTCTCTCTAACATTCTATAAAAGGCACCTTCACTCTCAGACCCCTTCCCCACCCTTAACTTCTTCCTTCCTTCTTTTTCCCCACAGCTAGTCCTTGGTTCACAGATGTGGAAATCAAACCGAATTCAGTATTTCCCAGTCTTTCTTCCTAACACTTCAGTCCGGACCTCCCAGTTGCACACCAGATACTGCCACAGACAATGTCCCCTGCAGGCACAAGGCCGTATCTTGCCCCTTTTCTGTCTCAAAAGGCCTTTTCATGAGGGAAATACTTTGTTTTCTGAGCATCTGGATGATTCTAGTTACTCCTAGAATACTTCTAAATGCAGAAAGGTTTATAGAGGAAACTGACATGGACATATAAGCCCTCCCAAATGTTTGAGAAAAGCAGGCAGGCATGTTAGTGAATACAAACTGCTGAGTTTCTGTGGCTGTTGACTACCTGGCTTGAGTCCCGGCAACTGCTGTTTAGCTTCGGACTGTCCCTGCACCCCTCTTCTCCCGGTTTCCTCATTATAAAGTAATGGGAATGACAATAATAGTGCTTAACTCCTGGGGTTGTGAAGATTCGCTAAAATAACACATGTAAAGTGCTTCGCCAAAACAGAGCACAAAATAAACACTAAATGTCGACTGTCTTTATTTTTTATTCGTAAATCTAAATTGACCATCAAAAGGCTTTTCTTCCACCAAAAGCCAAAGTTCCTTCAGATTGAGTTTCCCAACCGGGGAAAAGTATTTATAACAATGAGACCAGAAGCAATATGAATGAACCATTCTTAGCATTTCACATATTTACTCATAGAATCCTACAAAAAAAAACCCTTCAAGAAGTACTGTTACCTCTTATGGGAACGCCAGCCTTTGAGATAGAAAGGTTCTTGCATTTTAAGTACAGAACCAAAATTTGGAGCCAGTCAATGTCAGTGGCCGCATGTGATCCCTCAATCCCCCTGTACCCTGAAAGAGAAACCTTGGGAAAGAAAAAGATGAAATATTTATGATCCATAGAATAATTTGGCTCTCTTTGACAACTGTTTTCCAAAAGCTCTTTCTCAAGAGTAGTTAGCTAGTGGACTCCAGAGCAGTCATTTAATTAAAAGATAAGTGGTATAGCCTTTCAAATGATCTAATTAGAGCATGTGTGGATATGTCTGAGTAGTATGCATATCCAATAATCATGCTTATCATGTATATATAATTTTTTTCCTGAGAATCAATTGAGATTTACCCTGATATGTGTGTATATATAGATTTAACTCAGATTCATGCCACAACTGAAATCAAACATCATAATTGACCAGGTGAATTCATTTACATTATGACTGCACATGTATTTGTAAGATTTGTATTCTGAACTGCTAAGCAGCAGAATGCTTTTATCAATTCATGAGCTTTACTTGCTGATAGATTTTATTCAGTCTTTGCAAACCAAATCTTCTCTATCTCCCCTAGCTGGGAAACTTGAGAACTGTTTGAAATAAATTTGCCTATAGAAGTCTCTTTGTTAAGTAGAGCAAATGTTTCCTAAAGACTTCACTGTCACCCCACTGCTTTAGCTGATGAAGTGTTAGGCTTTGCAATGAAATCCTTGGTGTGTTTGCAATTAAAATATTTTTTATTTCATATTAATGATGATAACCTTTACTAAGGCCAAAGCCAAAACAAACAGGGCCATGGAAGAAGAAAATCAAGATGTAATAACTCAGTAAATATAAACAATTTGGGATTCAAACTGAGCAGCTTTCCAGAGCCAGGCATAAAGTTACCAAGAATAAAATAATGAGTGACTTTCTTTTCTATATTACTATAGAAATAATTTGTGGAACATCAAATATCAGCTTTCTCAAACTAACTTTAATCATCACACCTGGATCACTGAATTTCAGCCCTGAGCACACTGGAAATCCATTTATGTCTAACGGACTGATTTTGAGGGGAAGGGATCTTTCATGTATTTGAGAAGTGAGAGTACCACACTGAAATTCAGTGATTCTCATCTACTCCTGAGCCTGACAGAGAATTCTTGGGTTGCAAAAGTAACCTCTATCCTTGTAAAGACATTATTTACTTCAAGTTAGGATTTATCCACTTGTGCTTTTCTCTTAATTATATTTTATCCCATTTATTCATCTTCACCCAAATCCTCTTCCCAGACCACCATATCTGAAAAAACTGTATTAAAATATCTTTGTTTAAACTTTGAATATCTCATTTCCTAATCTATTAGTAAATTAGCAATAACATGGTATTTCCCCCCAAAGAGCCAAGGAATCAGGCATGTCTCCAACAGACACCCCTTCAATCATCTCTTAAACTCAAAAGAAGTGTTACAGAAGGTGACCCTAGTCCAAGAGGTTTCATTCTGAAAAAGCAATTTGGGGCAAGCCTAGTTCAGAGTCAGCCTGTGAGATGGAATGGCTATGCCATGTGCTGGAACAAAGATAATGCCGTGTAAGAACTGGCTACTTTCTCTCCTCTCAAGGCTGCTAACAGTCCTTCCTTCGGCCTTTGATCTCTCCTGGGAGTCTTCGAATTCAAGCAGAGGCCAATGTCTTCTTCAGCTGTCTTCTGCACAAATTCTTCCAGCAGCTTTGGCAGGTACTAATGTGTTTACTTAGGTGTGCCTGGTTCCCAGAGTGATCAGCAGCTTGAAATTGTTTAGCACATTGTAAATTCAAATATGATAAGCAGAAATCTCCAGAAGAACTCTCTTTGTCCAGGAGTTGATAAGGGCCTCAGGTAGCGGCATCAGTGAATTGAAATGGGTTTATCTGTCTACATGTATTTGGTTTCTCCCTCTAGGAGACGCATGGGGAATTTTCAATAATAATAATCCCTGGGGTCTGCAAAATTTACTAGGAAGGGAAGCGCTGAGCATCATTTTGCTGGTGTGGTCTGTCCATCAACACTAGGATTGTTGCCATAATGTTTAAACAAAAATAGGTTCTCTTAAAAAAAATAAAAAGGTTAATAATTACTTAAAGGCTTATGCCATTAAAACTTGTTCATAAGTGTTAACTGTAAGAAATCAAACATGTATGTACTTTTCTTTGGAATATATAGTGAAAAAACAATTTTTTTTAATTATCTACTGCCCCCAAACTTGGTGGGCTTCATTTATAACAGCAAACATGGCTTAAGTTTCTTCTCAGTCCGCCTCCTGCAAGGCTCTCCTCACCCTCAGGATTAGAATAGCATGTCTAACAATCTGTTTACATATTAAATGTACGTGAGTTTTTGCTGCACGTAAGAAAGGCACTTCTCTGGAAAGAAAGCATTTTCATTTTTTTTCTATGAGGAACAAAAGCCAATCTAATCTGATTTTGAGTAAAAGAGCACAGGGGGAGCAGAAGATCTTTTCCAAAGTTACTTTGAACCTTTCTTACACTTCCTTGTTCAATCTCCCCACTCAGAAAAATTGTTTTTCTGCTTACCCGCTTTCCCACTTGCTCTCACGCGGGCTCTCCTCGGAAAAGAGCTACCGAACCTCTTTTGAACTGGGGGACCCCAGGCATCTTTGAGGCGCTGGCTTCCTCCCTTCTTTGTATAATGCCTCCCATTTTTCTTCTCTTTTCCACCTTTCGCCCCTGACAGCGGTTTGAAAGTTTTGTCTCGTTTTTTACCTTGGTGCTCTGAGATCCTGTTTTCAGCACTTGAGTCCCAAGGGTCCTCAACCCCGGACCTTGTGTCCCCCCTAGCGAGTCCCATTAAGCCGCCGGGCGCTTGTGTTTTCTCGGCTTCTTTAGTTCCACTAGCCCGCGGCACTCTGGTAAATTTGTTTTGAGATCACCTTACCACAGACAGCCCTAACCTCCGAGAACTCCCATCAATGACAGGGCGTCCTGAGTGACAGCGTCTTCCCAGGCCCGGGAGGGCAGCGGGAGAAGCCCGACGCCCCATCTCCGGGGAGTCGGCCCTGCAGCGCTGAGTGCGCGCGCGCACTGAGCCCGAACTGCTAGGAGAAAAACAAAATTCACATGTGGAGCGCCAGGTCCGGAGAAGGGGATGCTACTTTTCAATCCTATGCGACCTGGGGCATATTACTTACCTCTTGAGCTTCTGTTACCTTCTATTTAAAAATGGATCTAATAATAGTTCCCAATGAGAGGTTGGAAGTGGTAAACGAGTAGATAGATACGTGGAAAGGGTTGAGAACAGTGCTTGGCAAATAGAAGTCTTAATAATTGTTACAAATGCCGCACCTTGAGGGATTGGGTACAAAGCACATTAGGTGCCCGGTGGAAAGAAATCAGCAGAAAGGCAAGAAGCAAAACTTATATATTCCATTTAAACTCCAAACAGCATGTTTATTTGTGCCCAAATCATGTATCTAAGCTGTTTTACCTGCGACCAGTGTGGTAACCTCTGGGCTCCGTAGCTAAAAGCAGTAGTATTACTGCTGCTGGTCAGAATCTGTGGGGCCTGGGTGAGAACATCTCTCCAATATTGTACTTCAGAGGTAGCAATGGGCATGCCTGCCAATGCTTCCACCAGTCTTCCATGCCCCCTGGGTCCTTTAGGAACTCGACTCTTATCTGGTGTAGCCCTGGTACCCTATTCATTTCAAAGTCACCCACTTGTTAATAGTGCTAAATAAAGTGCAGATGGATTTCCCACTGGCCATTTAGGCAGCGCGTTGTTGTGAAAGGGGGCCTGTCTCTCACGGGGGTAGTCGGGGTGTCTTTATTTCAGGGATGCCCTAAAGGGAGAGAGAACAGAGGCGAGCACGTTTCGGCGGACCTTAGTGCCTGACACTCCCCCATCCCTGGTTTTCTGGGCCTTGGCTTTGGAGAGTGAATCTCCCCCTAAAAAAAGTGTGCATTGCTCCAGCAACCCTTTAGGAAAGTAATTTTACTAAAAAGTAAGAAAAACAGAAGTGCCCCTCTGCCCGCTCCCGACTAACTTTGGAGCCACAACACTTACTGGACTGAGTGAGCATAGATCCGGGTGAGATCACTCTCTCCTGTTGTAATGGGATCTGGAGGTGGGTTAAGGGTGGGGGAGGATTGGCAAAAGCTGATTAATACATTCACTCTTACTTAAATGGCAGCCCTCCCCTCTCCCCTTCTACCTACCAACATTTCAAAGACTGCTGAGACTGCTTTTCTAGAAGGCTTTGGTCGCTGGAGTGTGTGAAGTTACTCGGGGTTTGAGGAGCTGGAAATTTTACACGAGCGGAGAGGGATTGTTGGCCGGCAGCTGGGATGCATCTGTAACGGTGTTCGTTTGCCTTAAGGCAGAAAATCAGAGACCCCAAAGCCCAGCTTGGCTGTTTAGTCTGTCGCGATGAGGGGGCGGAGCAGATAGAGAGGGAGAAAGGAGACGTGCCCCTGGAAAAGAGAGTTCGTCGTCCATAACGCAGTTTCCTAGAATAAAGCTTCCAGAGTGGCCTCAGCGCGGGTCTTCCGCCGTCTCGGGGTCTAGCAAAGGCCTGGCCCAACCGGGGAGGCGCTCAGGAAACTTGCAGAAGGGGAAGGGCAGGGAGCACTGCTCCTAGTCACGGGCTCTTGGTCCCACCTGACTTTAGATGAGCAGACACGGAGCGAGCCCTGTCTTGGGGAAAAGGAACCTCTCCGCTTACCCCCAATAACACAGAGCCTATAAAATGAAAATCTGATCAGAACAGAATAGATTTCCCTTAAATCTAGGTTCACTCTATGATTGAAAGTGTCAGTTTAAGTCTTTAGCAACCATTATGTGGTCCACTGACTGAAAAACTTTCCGAGGTAACTAAAACTCATGAAAAAAAGAAACAAACACCTAAAACTAAGGTGAATCCTCCTGCCCAGGATTAGAAGGAACGTCAGCTTTTGGTGTCGGCTCAGAGGGATTTCTATTCATTTCCTTTATAAATGTGTGAGCAATTGCTAAAAGTTGGACTTCCTTTGTTCATTTTTGTCTGTGACACTCTTTAAGTGATTGCTTGGTTCAGGTAATCTGGAGAGAGCCAGTGAGCGGGTTGGCGAGTCAGCCCCCCGCCCCAGCAGAGATGCAGTAAAACCATTAGCATCTAAAGGAGCTGTAAACAGCAAACTGTCTCTAGAGGGAAGGAGGAGGTTTGCCCAGACAGCCCCGGCGGGGGTTGCGGTGGGATATGCTAATAATGCCCGGCCACCTCCCTCCCACAAGAATATATAAAGAGCCCCAACCCCAGCGCGCAGACCCAGGCCGCCAGACGTCTGCCCTTGTTAATTACCAGCAACACAGACCTGGGGGCTCCGCTCGGGATTTGCCCGCCCGCAAGCAGCTCTAGGCGCCCGTTTTCTCCCTCATCTCTCTCGCCGCTGTCCAGGTGCACCGCCTGATTCACCGCAGAGGATGGACATGATGGACGGCTGCCAGTTCTCGCCTTCCGAGTACTTCTACGAGGGCTCCTGCATCCCGTCCCCCGAGGGCGAGTTTGGGGATGAGTTTGAGCCACGAGTGGCTGCCTTCGGGGCTCATAAAGCAGAGCTGCAGGGCTCAGACGAGGACGAGCACGTGCGAGCGCCGACAGGCCACCACCAGGCCGGCCACTGCCTCATGTGGGCCTGCAAAGCATGCAAGAGAAAGTCCACCACTATGGATCGACGGAAGGCAGCCACCATGCGCGAGCGGAGACGTCTGAAGAAGGTCAACCAGGCCTTCGAGACTCTCAAGAGGTGCACCACGACCAATCCCAACCAGAGGCTGCCCAAGGTAGAGATTCTCAGGAATGCCATCCGCTACATAGAGAGCCTGCAGGAGCTGCTGAGGGAACAGGTGGAGAACTACTACAGCCTGCCGGGACAGAGCTGCTCTGAGCCCACCAGCCCCACCTCCAACTGTTCGGACGGCATGGTAAGAGAGAGTTCTGGTACCTACTCAGCCACCCCAATCTTTTCCAAAAATCTCTGCATCCCATTTAAACCAGGTGTGGCCACCAAATATCCAATGGTTATTGGTAGATGGCTGGGGGTGGCAGTGAGGAGGCAGTTGCTGCAAGAGAAAAGAGGTGCCAGATTTAGAGATGCCAGCAAGCAGCTGCTGAACAGGATTTTAGTGTGATTTCCTACCAGGTTCTAGGTATTCATTTTAGGAGGGAGTTGTCATGTGAGGTAGGTGACTGTGAATGATCAATAACATGTTTTCTCCATTACTCAGTTTATTTCCAAAATATACCACCAGTGGACCCTGCCACACAGTTACATCTTAAGCAATTGTCTGAAGTTCCCACTGCCCCACAATTTATAAAGTAATGAAGAAGTGGAAAGAAATACCCACATGGCCCCAGTCCCTGCTCTGCTGAGGCCTGGCTGGAAGGAGATGTTGAAGCATTCTTTTCAGAGGGTGTTTGCTCCAACGCTGCCAGGTTTTAATGTGTTTTTGCCCTGGGAAAGTGTTCTTTCCCTCAATTAGTGTGGCTTCCTTTTACTCCAATCCATTTTGCATGGTTAACCCAATGCACATTGCTGCTGAATTCCACCCCCTCTTCTCTTTGCTGCTGTTCTCCTCTTCTCCAAGCACAGAGATTGACCTCGGTGCCCTTGCAGTTTGGTGAGGGCTAATCCTTCCTAAACTGAGGCAATGAAGGTGATTGAGAGTGGGCAGTTAAGGAGCCAGTGGGCAGGTGCTGCCTCCCCCCAGGTCCAAGCATCTTTTGCCAAGATCTGAAAACAAACTTCCTTTGTGTCTTATATTATAGCCCGAATGTAACAGCCCTGTCTGGTCCAGAAAAAGCAGCAGTTTTGACAGCATCTACTGTCCTGATGTACCCAATGGTAAGAATTGATGACCACTCGGGTGTTTAAAGATGAGTTCAACTTCCCCATTCTGCCTGTCAAAGCAGAATCAGTTCTTCCAGGCAGTATTGGAGAAGGGAAGAGAAAGCATCCTTTCTTATGGGCAGTTTTTTTGCAGAGCAAAATGTACACATATCTTTTGCTCAAAATCCCCCTAACAGATAAACACACATGTAGACATCCATGGTTGAAATATTAGTAGAGGGATTCTCTGCTCCCAAAATTCACCCGGTGAATTGCTAAGTATTTGTTGCAAATTTCTACATCAGACTTTCTTTGACCATCTGACCTCTGGGTGTCAAAGGAGCTGACCTATTTTTAGGGGTGGCATAAGCAAGTCTATCTATTTGGGGATTTCCTTTATAATGGTTTTCTCCTTGTATCCTTAGTGTATGCTACAGATAAAAGTACCTTGTCTAGCTTGGATTGCTTATCCAGCATTGTGGATCGGATCACCAACTCAGAGCAACCTGGATTGCCTCTCCAGGACCCGGCCTCTCTCTCACCAGTGGCCAGCACCGACTCTCAGCCCGCAACTCCAGGGGCCTCTGGTTCCAGGCTCATCTATCACGTACTATGAACTAAAATCTAGTCTAGATCAGTTCTGCCCAGAGGGCCTATTACACAGGAGGAAGGAGGCCTCAAAAGTCCGAAAGCAAGACAACGTGCATACAAAGATTTCCTTGCAGTTGTAAATTTGTAAATATTATCTTGCCACTTTATAAGAAAGTGTATTTAACTAAAAGCGAAAAAGTCACCTTTGCAATTAATACATTATTATTTCCCTCCTCCTTCTTCTTTGCTTTAGATACTATTAGTTTCAGTTATATTACTTCTAATAGGAGGCAACTCACTGAAGGTAGCTTATTGCAACGCTTAACTTAAGTTTTTTTTAAATAAATATTGCTTATCAAGATATTATCTCTGGTATTTAGATCTTTATTTTTTCCTTCAAAACATTAGAACAGCTGAAAATCAGTTTCAGGAAGCTTTAAATATATTTAACTATTGTTTTTCTCTTTAGCCCTTTGGTTATATTGTATTAAATAAAAACGTAACAATACTGCCTAATGGTATATATTTTTATCTCTTCTTACAAAAAATGCATATTTTAATGTAAACACAAAATAGTACTTTGTGGATAATTTCAAGATATAAGAAATTTTGGAAATTCCACTATAAATAAACTTGTTTAAATGAAGAAATGTTTTGGTTCATGATTTTTAGAAAGAACATCCTTAAAGGAATTAGCAGTCATTGACATTAAATCTTTTTAAACAGTTGACTTTGTGGATAAATCTGAATATGTGCCATCTCATAGATTCTGTCTGGGTCCTGTTGATGTCACAAATGAAATGCCATATTTCCATTTTAATCCTATTTCAAAGGAGCCTACCAAATACTATTTTTTCTTTATCTTACCACCATTTCATGTATGTCAAGTTGTGTGTGTGTGTGTGTGTGTGTGTGTGTGTAGGGAATGTGGAAATTATTCAGGACAATAACATATGTTTAAACAAGAAGAAAGTATAACATTACATCATTTTAATTCTTACAGTACATTAGAAATAATGAGTTAGATCATATTTACTTTATCTACTTGCCTGAAAATATATCAATACATTAATATATTAATATTGTCAATAAAATACTTAAGGATATTGAGTTAATTGAAGAATAAGAAAATTCATACAACACAGGAAAGTAAGCAGACAGTATTGATTTCCTTGTCTTCACAGCCTTTTTGACTTTGTCGGTCACATTGTGCGTGAGTGATGGATATGAGTCTGTTACTGTTTATCACTTTAAGTCTCCTTTAGAAAAAATTGAGATGAAAAAAATAGGACAACTAAGTGAATAATTAGGTTGAGACAATCATGGGGATAATTCTCACAAGCGTACCATCGAAAGAAATAGAAAGGAAATATCCTTAGAACATCTGTAGTAGCTGTTCACAGCAAAAACATAAAGATGAATATTTCACCCCCTTATTTGGACATTAACTTAGAATTTGGCCAAGGGTTTGCAGCTACACAGATCAATCAACCAAAGCATCCAGTCTCTGCTACAGCTTGGCAGTCCTACTGTTATCAGGAAGATTTCCCCTTCTTTCGGATGTGGCACTTGTGCTTGCCAAGTCATCAGGCTTAAAAGCATAGAAATTATTCCACAAAGGGAGGGACAGGAGAGGAGCTGATGTCAAGAAGTAATGTAGCCACTGTCAGTCTGTTAGCATTGTGCCCTGATGTGCAATGCTTACTTTTCGCACACAGGTCAGTCTTGCTTTACCTATGATTTGGTAGTGAGGTTATGAGGTGAGTGGAGAGTTCAAGGGGGCACCATAGAGGTGCAGATACGGTTTCAACCTAAGTCTGAGTTAGTCGCTTTCATTAGACACTAGGTACTTTTTCTCCTGTTTATGCTTCTGTGGAGAGGATATAGATTCACTGGTCTTTGTAAAATTAGAAAAAAAGGTATTATCCAAAGATTGTTTTGTGTTCTTACAAATTCATTTAAAAAACACATTACCATACTCTGTTCCACTTAATAAAAGTAAACACAGAATGTGATTTTTAATTCATCTAAATAAAAATTAACTTTCCTATGAAACCCTAGTTACTTCTATGACTTGGAAATGTATTTAGTGTTCTAGTGACTGTTATGATGCTTCAAAGTATTTAGAGATTTTCTGTGGACTGGATTTAATATGGGTAGTGATCGATTATCACTAAAGACCATGTGCTTCATGTCGGGTTGCTTAGTGTCATTTCCAGCATACTAGTGTTGGAGACTCGTGTTTCCTCAGTAAACGCTCAGCACAACACATCACATGCAGTCACATATACTTGTCTGACAAAGGCCTTCTGGAATTGGTTCTCCAGTAGGCCAGACCCACACAAACCTTTTCTTCAAGAAAGTAAGGGGCAGGGGGCGTTGGTGCAGGGGAAGGTGAGATACTGGTAAAATATTCTAGTAAGGACAGGCTATTGCTGTCAGAAAGAAGTCCTCTGGAGTGAACAGTTGGGCTGACAGCATGTTTCAGACCACTTCATCTCAGCTGGTGGTAAAATTCAGTTAACAGTCAAATATCCAGAAGCAGCTAGGAAAATGTTCCCTTTACTATTTGCAAACCTGAGGAGGATGAGGTTCACAGGAAATAGAGGCAAAAAAGATTCCTTTCTCCTCAGGCCTGGGAAATGCAAGCTGACTCAGTTACATAGGGAAACTGTGTGCAATGAGGTTATAGAAATTGGAAAGGACTATTCGGAAGCAGGTTGCTATATAAATCAGAGTGTCTTGATGGTCCTTACTTTTTTCTCTTTTGAAAGATGCAGGTCAGATAAAATTAGTAACTATATTTTTTCCTTAAGTTCTTCATTAAGTTGGCATTCACACACACACACACACACATATACTTACTTTGAGAGTGGGTATTTCCTGACATTCATGCTTTGAGGTTGTAAGTTACTAGATTAAAGTAGTAATTCAACTTTCTGACTTTCAGAGGAATGATATTTCCGGGAATGGCATAGAGTACATCTATTTGTAACTTCAGACAGTCTCTGCTCAAATGCAAAATACCCCTGAAAACATCACCACTGAATGTTCTCACATCATTACAAAAAGCACAGAACATCAACTTTATTTCCCTTAACAATTCTGATTATAGATATTTCAGTTAACTAGTGATTTAGTTGTTTAACATGGTACATTTGCTGAGCAAACTCTAGAATTTCATCCAAAGTCTGTAGTGAGTCTGAAATTATTAATGTATTGCTATCCTTTAAATTATACTTGCTACATTTGCAAAATGGGGTAAATGATAGGTTATCATAAGAATTAATGTATTGCTATCCTTTAAATTATACTTGCTACATTTGCAAAATGGGGTAAATGATAGGTTATCATAAGATCATAGTGACTACTAAAATTATTATAATGTTACAATCTTACACAAATAATCCTTTGCAAAGGGAAAATAAGCCAGCTTTTATGTCCATCTATGCTACTTAATTCACTTCATTACAAATTAACTGGGCACTGATGATAAATCACAACTAGCAATTATTAAGTATTTATTATGCAAATAAGAAAACTAAGGCGTAAGCAGTTTAGTAATTTGCCCAACAACACTCTATTTGGGCTTCCTCATAGCACATGTCCCGGGAGGCTCAGGCAGAGGTTACAAGCTTTCTATGATCTAGCATTGGAAGTCCCAGAAGATCACATCTGCTGCATTCTTCCAGTCGAGCAAGCTACTACAGTCAGCCTAGATTCACTGAGAAGCAAATTAAACTCCATTTTTCAATGAAAGACTAGTCATGAATTTGTAGCCACATTTAAACTAACACAATGACTAGTATATACTCACAGTCTCTCTCCTTACCTCTCGCCCATTCTACCCATTTGCTGAAACCAGGCTCTGACTCTCCCACTATCTGTGGTCCAGACAGCCTTCAATCAGTGGGCTGTTCCTGCAGCCGGCAAGCTTACACCTCCAGCCCAGATGTCTGCCCTGATCTTTAGAGTTATTCTTCACATCTCTTGATGTCTCAGTAGCCCCTCCAATTAAACATGTTCCAAATTAAACTCACGATGTTGCATCTCTCTCTCTACCTCTTCACCCAGCTCCTTTCGGTGTGGACTCTCTCAGTGAATGTTACCAGTTGTGTAAAGATGAAATTTCACTTCATCTCTTGTCTAATTCATTACAAAATCCTATGAATTTATTCTCCTAAAAACCTTCAAATCTCCACCCTCAATCCAAACTATGGTTACCTCCAACCGGGAGTAGCATAAGAGTCTCTTCACATGTCCTCCCATATTTTCCCTGGATCTCTTACCTCTGGAGACAGCACACAGGGTTTTCTTTGGAAACTGTCCCTTTCCTTTTCTCAGGCCATGTGGTGCAGGTGGAATGACTGTACTTACGCCCTGGCTTCAGAAGGGCGCAGGTCATTCAGGCCTGACTGAGTGTGTCCTCTTCCTGAGCCATAACACTTGTTTCACGGACGTGAGACTTTTATCACTCATCAGGTTCCCTCCTGCCAAAGGAGCTTTACGCACTCTCTCTGCCTACAGGGCTCTTCCACTTCACCTGATAGATTCTCAATATTCCTTTAGATCTCAGCTCAGGCATCAACTGTACGGCAAGTTTCCCTTGAGCTCTTTTATAGTATCAAGTTCTCTTATTCTATGATCTCACAAAAAAACCCATATTCTCTGTAGAATGTCTTCTCTGTAGCATGTCTCATAACTGCAATTATGCATTAATTTGTGTGATTATTAACATTTTTTGCCAAACAAGGACCTGTTCTTCATCAACTCTGTGTCCCCTGGGCAATAGTAGGATATTTTATGTATATTTTTGAATGGATTAATGTTGTTAGAGAACTTGTTACTGTGAAATGCACTCATTTTCAAAGTCTTATTCATAGGATTTCTTAACACTATTTTTTTTTCTACTAGTTCTCTTAATTGTTGTTATATGTTAATTTCTTGTACTGACTTCTCTTATTCGGGCTGATTCTTACATATTAGTTTCTTAGGGTTCTTTTGTATTGCCTCTTATTTTTGTTCTATTATGGACTATTTCTACTTCCATAGCTTCACTGCCTCCTAAGGGTAGAGTTGTTTCTACCATTGTCTTATCTGTAACTTCTAAGATAAGTTGCCCATATTTAGCCACTGATTAGCGTGATTGGTCTTTTTAGTAACTGTTAGTCAATTAGGGATGGGTATCTGACCTATGGGCAACTAATCCATAGAATAACTAGCATTTATGAAATACAGAGCTTGATTCCAACATATGAATTGAGATAAACAGATTCCTTATATCAGGAGTTCAGACTCAAGAGAAATAAATTGCCATTTAATAGTGGGAACTAAATTGAAAGTTCGTGATGTTGATGGGGCTGGAGAGATTATGATAGGCTCTACATAAATTGAAATTATGGGGGAATACAAGATTTAAATAACCCTAAGAAACCCATTGGTAGTGGGAGAGAGTGGATTCA